TCAATATATTGCTGATAGAAGCTGACATGATTCAGAAACTTTCAAAAAATGAAACCAAAAATAAAACCAAAATAACTTCATAGAAATTGAAGTCAAAATAAAATCCTTAATTATATGCATGTGTATCTGAATAGAATTTGGTTGACAAAAGAACTACCATTATGCAATCATTCAAACTTGTTGTTTACTTAAATGAGACAAGTATAAAGATTTACCTGTCAGCTAATGATGAAATGCATAATTGCAAATCATGATTTCTTTGAGGAAAATAAAATCCTGGTAAATGCTCCACTTGGAAGTAAAAGACTTATGGTTGTAGATAGCAAGGTAGATGTTTAGTTCTTTCTTCTCGTTGCCTTCTATAGTTCTTGTAGTTTCCTTTCTATGTCCGCTATCAACACTGTATCATTTGCATATCTTATGTTAAGATTGTGGCTGCTAATAATAAATCCTGGTAGGACTTCTAATTCTCTCAGAATCACCTCACTGTATACGTTGAATAATTTGTAATTTGCATGTTAGACTCTTCCTTTTGCTGACAACCATGCAATGCCAATAGAAATCTTTAAATAGTATTTCTTTTGTATTCTACAATTGTTTTATTAGAAGTGTAAAAATCTTAAATATGAAATATTCTTCAAATGTATTCTAATTTGAAAAATATCTTCCTTGTAATGTAGATTGTTTTGTCTTGTAGCAAGTGATTATTAATTTAGATGAATAGTCTTGAAGAAGGAATTTCTAGTGACTGGGCTCAATGTATTGAAGTGAAGAATTTTATGTACAGGGTGTTGTGGTCATTTCCTGTTTCATGGCGCTACTGAAGAAACCTGTTTGGTTGTCTCTATTGTTTCAAATAGGATCACTTAAACAGTTTTGGGGTTGATTAAAGCTAGTATTTTGATTGGTTATAAATTTTTAGTTAAAATTTTTTATTGCTAAATTTAGTGTGAAGTGAGCCTCTTCTAGGCACTATGACATATTATATTTTTAAACTCTCATATCATTTAAATCTCTCTCTCTCTCTCTCTCTCTCTCTCTCTCTCACTCTCTCTCTCTCTCTCAGTCCCTTTGTATCACTTATTAACATTCAAATATCTCTCTTAGATTCTTCATCTCTCTCTCTTTCACTCTATTCAAATGTATTAGCCCTTCATTCCTCTCTCTCTCTCTCACTCTATTCAAATGTATCCCTCAGCCCCCTTCATTGATCTCATATTCAAATGTATCTCTTAGATCCTTCATCTGTCTCAAATGTTTCTGTTAGATCCTTCATTTCTCTTCCACACCATTAAAATGTATATCTCAGCTCCATCCTCATGTCATTCAATTGTTTCTCTTAGATCCTCTATCTCTTTCTCTCTCTCACCCATTTTATTCAAATCTTTCTGTCAGCATCTTCATGTCTCTTTTTTTCAGTTTATTCATAAGTCTCTTTGAACTTTTGATATCTCTTTGTTCTTTTCTGTTTACTTCACTCTTTATCTATCCCATTCTCCCTTCATCATTGTCCACCACCCTCTTCCTGCCAACCTGTAGACATTGGTCGATTAAATATTTCTCTTCTCTGTGAATAAGTGAGAATCTAAAATGATTTCTTTCCTCTTTGGAAAAGTGAATTTTTCATCTCTCTTTCAAACAAAGTCAACCCCAATCAACCACTATGATGGAATCCACTTCCTTCATTTCTTGCATGCCCCATTAGGCCTGTGTCATTGAATTTGCTCATGAGCGCCATCTGGTGGTTGGCAACAGTAAACACTTTTCTGCTCACGCACACTTTGGCTTACTTGCTTCAGCTGAGATAGTGTTTGCGTTGATGTGAGAATCTCTTTATTAGCACATTTTTCCAAACGTATGTATTCATTAATAAAATGTATATGATGTCTTATTTCTGTTTTCGTTTTTAATTTTTTAGGGAAGTTTGCATCAGAAGGTTTTTTTTGTGGGGGGTTAACACTTATTTTGGGAAGGTTTGGCTTTGTCACTGCAAAAAAGGAATGATGGCTTTAATGGGGCACTAATAAAAAATAATATCAATATTAAAATATTATTTCTATAGTTGCATCATGTATCAGTTTTTATCATAAGTATACACAACATACATACATACATACATATATATATATATATATATATATATATATATATATATATATATATATATATATATATACACACACATATATAAACTGTGTGTGTGTGGAAAAAGAGAGAATTATATATAGGTTTAAACACCTAAATTGTATACATGTGAATAAAGAGACACATCTAAATGTATACATCTGGGTTTTATATACTATGCACTTGCATGTATATGTACATATAAACATCTATATACAATATAGAAAGCTAATAGCATAATGCACCTGTATAAGGCATATGAAAGAAAGGAATATATATATATATATATATATATATATATATATATATATATATAAAATATTCAAATATTTTTTTGTCTAACTATGCATTTGCATCTATGAATGTTAAATTTCAATATTATATTAACGGATAACTTTTTCTCTTTTTTTTTCTCTTTTTTTTGCGGAATGAAGCTTTTCTATATGTAGAAAAAGAGAGAAAAACAGAAAGGTAAATTTATTGATTAATATACATGTTCCTGAATATAATTTCATTTACTGATCTAAGTAAGGAGATAAGAAAGACCTACCTTCATATTTACTTATGTATGTATTTATTTAGGCATTGAGATATACAGGCTTATGGCCATATCATGTTGAAACAAGGATGCTCATACAATCTCTAAAGTTAAGCAACATTGAACCAGGTCAGTACCTAGATGGGTGACCATTTGGGAATACCAGGTGCAAAACTTGGATGTGCAGGTAGTGTAATAGATAATGACTCTGGGTGAGAAAAACAGAGAGCTGTGTTTCAATTCCAGTTGGGTACATTATATTCACTTATACACAAATAGCCCTCTCCCATCTATGGGTTAATTAGTAAAACTTGTATAACTAAATCATTATTATCCTCCCACAAAGTTCTTACAATTCTAAAAATATTTTTTGTTTTTAAATAACCTGCAAAGTTAAAGCTGAGCTTCCAACAAGCTGAGCCATTTTGGAAGTCCTCTAACAAAACTTTCTGACCTTAACAATTTAGACTTTATTAAAATCAGTCAAATCTCCTTATCCATAATTGCAGTATTCAATACATCAAACTGAAGTACTCAAGGCTGCTTAACTGCTTATATAACTTTAAACCCGACAGGCACAATGATGAGACAGTAGCTGTCGTTCTTGCTTTATAACACTGATTATAACATTTTGTTCAGTTCATCTATATGTGTGTATATATATATATATATATATAAATGTGTGTGAGTGTTATAGTTTACTCAATATTTGTCTTTTTATCTATTTATCAATATATATATATATATATATATAATAAGTATATATCTGTAGACAACTTTTTATTTACCTGAAAATCATATCAATTTTGGAACCTGTGCAATTCATACAAAATGGAGTAGACAATAAAACTTACATCATGTAAAAGATATCGATTAGAATCTCAGAATATTAAGCAGAAATAATAAAGAAAACTAAAAAACCATTATAATTGTGTTTTTAACCCAAATTACTATTTTCAAAATTTTGATGAAGTTAAATGGAATTAACATTATAAATTTATTTACATCATTTTTGTCATCGTTATTATTGCTGCTGCTGTTACCCACCTATTCAAAAACTAATTCCAAACCTTTGTTAGAATACATGACACTCCTCCCATTAAAAGTCTGCTATCAAAATGGCTTTCTTGTTAGTTTTCCTTATTTATTTATTTATTGGATTGTAAGTAGTTGAATTAGATTGCTTTTTAGAAATGGAAATGCTGAATGTTCTTGGACTGATTCAGTTCCCAGAGTCTGACCAAATGATTAAGCATGGGAGATTCTAGTTTGGACAAAGGACTTTTCATCACCCCCACATAGCTATTTCTTCTCCATATGTTTTATAAGTTATGGAGACAAAGATTTTTAACTTTAACTTATGTAACATTAGTAATTTCTGTTAAATTTTAGAAAATAAATTTGGTTATGTTTTTTTTCTCGTTTCTATATTTATTACAAAAGAGATGTTCTTTTTGTTGTTATCATTGCAACATTGATTTTTTTCCATTGCATTATACACTATATATTGATATATAGTGTATGATATATAATAAATAAAAAAACAATACAGATATTACTGCTCTTATGCAAGTTAAAGCTTATTGTAAACATCTAGATAGTTATACGCCTATCTCAAAATCTTCAGGGAGCAGTTGAGGGATGAGATACTCAATTCTATATTTATAGTGTATGATGATTTTAGATATATATATATATATATATATGAATGTCAGGGTGTCACACTTTTTTAACTTTACTCTTCCCAATATATAATACCATTTTGGAATCAGGCCAACTCTGTGACCAAAGAAAAAGTATTTCAGGCTGGATCTGGATATGCAATCCTGAAATTTTGGTTTCCCAAGTTTTCATTACTGCAAATGTTTTTGGCAATTTTTACATGATTTTTGGGGAAAAATTTTTTTGTATGATAGCAACTTTTAAACTTGGTAATAAATTTGGCAATAATTGAAATTAATTGTGAAATCCAGCAAAATCACCCATGAAATAAAAATAATGGTTTGTACGGAAAGTAAGGACTTACATATATCAAATTGTCTTTAAATTAAGTGACGGCAGAAGAATTATCATTGAACTTTTAAAAGGTAAGGTTAAATATTAATGCAATACTTAAATGCAGCAATCAATTTTGAGTTCTTCTGTAGTTTATTGATGCCTATCACATCTACTCTTCTCTATTGTGATGAAGGTTCAATCAAGAGCCCTCCATAGGAGCTAGAAATGCTGCCTGATAAGGCAGATGTGCATGTCTATATATATATATATATATATATATATATATATATATATATATATATATGAAGAAAAATATATACGGAAAAAACAAACAAAAACCCTTATATACAATTTATACTGTTTTAATGTTAATATGTCAACGTCGGACGTTTTGGTCTAATAAACCATCTTCAGGACATATTCATAAATTATAACATTATCAATACAACATGACAAAGACGATGTACATAAGAATAAGTTTTATAAGATCAGCGCTTCGTTTAAAACATGGTCACGTTGTTGTCACGTGGGCGGCGCTGTGAAAACGTATTCCTAAAATTTGAGTATTTTGAATGAAAAATGAAATCCATATATTTGTTTATATATATATATATATATATATATATGGAAAGAGAGAGATAATATTACATACATACATACATACACACTTAGACACCCATGTGTGTGCATATGTAATTATCTATTTATCTACATATTTACTGTGTGTATATATATATATATATATAAACAGTTTTGTATATATATATATATATATATATATAAACATAAACAGTGTGGGTATAGGTATCATCACTGCATGGTGAATGTCAGTTTCTTGCTTTTATGCAATCTTAAAACCAAATATTACGTTGATGTATGAAACTGACAGAGACTATGTAGTGTTGATACCTATGGCTATACTGTATATATCTATAAATTAATCTTCAATACTCAACATATGTATATTGTTTAAGATTTTCTATATCTACTGGGGAAGGGTGCATTGTTGATATATGCAGTGCAGAATCAACACTGCATGACAGCTTCATGCCTTAAGTTATCTTGTGTGTGTGTGTGTGTGTGTGTGTGTGTGTGTGTGTGTGTGTGTGTGTGTGAAATATCACAATATTATTAAAAGGTTTTGTATTGTTATTGTAGCATTGATTTTTCTTTCTTCTTATTATTATTGTATTACATATTAAATATCGGTATATAGCATGATTTATTGCATTGTGTTCTTTGGTAATACCCACAATCTATAAATCAATAATTCAACTAATTTACATTAATCTTAATGGGTTTAAGTTTAAATCCCCCATCACTTATTAATAACATTAGACACCTGTAGTACAAAAACTATTTACTGTGAATCTCAGAAAAGCACACTTGGGACTCGTATTAGAAACACCACATGGTAGGAACTGATATTAAACTACAAACAACGAAAGGTTCTAGCCATAAATAAACACCAACCCCAGACCGCTTCCCCCGAGATATGATATGTTACGCCCCCACCAGTCTCTAACATAAACCCATTCTCATTAATAAGATGTCTACCAGAGGAGGACTGACATTGAAAATAAATTTAAAACAATGATCTGAGATAGACACTTTGGGTGCTGATGATAGCCGCATACAGAACGGCTTGAAATAAATTATCTCATGTTGAGGTAATTTTTGTTTTTTTACTGCAATATATATATATATATATATATATATATATATATATATTTAAAAATAATTATAATATAGGCTCTACTGTTGTATTGAGCACTGTTTTTTAAAAATAAAAATGAAAATGCTAAAGAACTTTGGATTATTAACTTAACGGTTCTTTCCTATTTTTCTATATACTTACACACACACACACACACACACACACATATATATATATATATATATATATATATATATATATATATATATATCTTTTCACCTCTCAGAATAAACATCTTGAAACAATCCAACATTTTTCTACCAGGGACATTGTAATAGTTCAAGTGAGGTAGATCCAACACAGCAAAATGTTACAAATTTTACGGAAGAACTTGCGAATACATTTGGTGTAGGGTATTGATATAAATAAGGGATGTAATTCTAACACAGTAAAAGCTTATAGACACTGAAGACAGAAAATTACAAATACACTTGATGTATTTAATAGTAAGTAATATTAAGATATTTTAATAGTAAGTATAGTTAATAGTAAGTTCAGAGAATTAAAAAATAATTATTCATGCAGAAAAAATGCAATCAACAGGTTGACTTCAAATTCTGCTAAATCTTTCCTGTTTTTCATGTTGGTTGTGGCATGCTTAGGCAATCATGGCTCTTTTGAATTCATGAACCCTAACTAGAATTTGAACTCGGCTTTCCAATTTCTCATCATAAGCCATTATCCATTACACCACTTGCACATCCAGGCTCACCTGGTATTCCAATCAATCACTTATCGAGGTACTGAACTGGTTCAACATTGCTTAACTTCAGTGATCCTATGAGAACTGGTGTTTCAATGTGTTATGACCATAAGCACTCTTTCACATTTGCTCCACACTTATATCCTTGAGAAAGACATGAATCTATCTATTCTATTCCCAGCTATACACTACAGTTCAAAAGTTTGAGGCCACCCCGGATAAATTTTTAAATTGACCCAAAAAGTAGTTATTTTGTACTTTAAATAAGAGAAAATTATTATACATGGTTAAAAAAGGTGAGACATGATTTTTATTAGAAATTTTATGACAAAAAAGAAAAAAGCATTTTATCACTACCTACCACTTCCTCTTTCACATGTATATCATTTCATTATAACCATTGTAACAGTAAGCCTCTACCTTGAGTAACACTCAGGCCTTGTATTGGGCGAACTTTAATATAAAAATAGCTAGCTAGCTAGATTAGAAAAAAAGGAAAATATATAGGAACAGATAGATACATACATTCATACATAGAGACAGAATAATACATACATACATAGAGACAGAATAATACATACATACATAGTCAGAATAATACATACAGATACATATATACATACATACATATAAATAGATACATACAAACAGATAGACAGATACACACATACATACAGATACATACATACAGACAGATAGACAGGTACATAGATACATACATACAGATAGGCACATACATACATACATATAGGCAGACATACAGATACATACATACAGACAGATAGATAGATACATACATACATAGAGACAGAATAATATATACATACATACATACATACATATAAATAGATGCATACAGATAGACAGATACATACATACATACATACATACATACAGACAGATAGACAGATACATACATACATACAGACAGATAGACACATACATGCATATATACAGGCAGACATACAGATATATAGATACATACAGACAGACAAACAGATAGATACATACATACATACATACATAGAGACAGAATAATACATACATACATAGTCAGAATAATACATACAGATACATACATACATACATACATACATATAAATAGATACATACAAACAGATAGATAGACAGGTACATAGATACATACATACAGACAGATAGGCATATACATACATACATACATACATACATACATATAAGCAGACATACAGATATATAGATACATACAGACAGACAGACAGATACAGACAGCTATGAATAAGCACATAGATAAGAACAAATAAACAGGTAGATTCTTACAGTATGAAAATAAGTTTCTCAGACAGGTATTATTATTTATCAGATAAATTAAATATGAGAAAAACATGAGAAATCAATTATATTTCAATTATATATTATATGTATCATTTGTCACAAATGGGTTTTTAAAATGCTACTTTTTCAATAATCAACTTTCTTTTCAGATTTTTATCTCCATGTTTTTTTTTTTTAATTTAATTCACAAAAATACAGATAATTATCACACAGGAATATTTACTTATATGCCATCTTAATTTTTGAAACACTGCAATGAATTAAATGATTTGTCTTAACATTATCTCCCTCCAGAATGTAAGAGGTTATGACTCTCCACATCTTCCTTTATTATATGTTATATGTGCATATTGCTATGCATCCTTGGGAAAATAGTGGAGTGGTTTCCTGTTACCTTCTCCAATGTTTAGAATTCAGAATTTTCCTTCTCTTAGACTGATTACCACTCAAGGCTAGAGAGCCCAGTTTAGCCTGCTAATTTATCCATAGTTGATGAGTAGAAGACATGGATCCATACCTTTCACAAGGTTGTTTGTGTAAAAATGTATACAACTTACCCAAAATTTGCCCTTTGATACCAATTTTCATGTAGATATTTGCTGAACTACCCTTTGAAATAATGCACAATTTCAAACTGAAAACTGAATAAATTCAATGACAAAATAGATAGAATATATATATATATTTAAATGAAGTATTTGAAATTAGAAACAAAGAAAGAACCTTTAGTAAAAAATAAACTAAACTAGCAAAAAAAGATTTAGATGACACAAAGAAAATGAAAAATATTCAAATAGTTATAAAAGAAAACACTAGACTTGAAATATTATTTAAGTACTATCATGATTTTTAAATCACTGTGATAAATTAAATAATTTTTTTAAAAGATGAAATTTAAAATTGAAAAGTGCAATAAATTCAAGGATAGAATAGGCAAAATATGCATTTAAATGAAGTGTTTGAAATTAAAAGCAGAAAAATAAATAAATTTGAGAAAGATTTAAAAAAAAGAATGAAAAGCAGATGAAAACAATCAAATTAAAACAAAGAATAAAAAAAAATCTTTTGAAAGAGTTCTTTAAAAAAAAAGCTAGATTTGAAATGAGCACAAAGGCTTGTCAGTAGAAAACAAGAGGCTCATGGGAAAATGACTGTTCATTTGTCATTCACTCACTGTTCAGGTGTCTTTTGTTGGCTTGCCACTGGGATCCATGGATTTTAATCAGGTTGCTTACTCAAGGAAAACTCTTTGGTCTATTTCAGTGCATTTGTTTTGTCATGTATTTGATCAACAGGAAAGAATTTTAGCTAAGACATATGATCACAGAGCAAGCACCAAGAAACCTACAACAAAACATACTGAGACATGGCACTGTCAGTTGCACATCCAAATGTAGATAATTGAATTTAAAATACCGTTCCACCTGAGTTGTATGCAAACTTGTAATCAAACAAAGTGAGAGCCATTTTTAGATATATTTTTCAGTGTTCAACCTTTTCTTTTTTTAAATTCCTTTTGTTCCTTCTTTCTTTTCAATAAAATAATACCTCTTTTATGTTATTCTTTTCTTCTTTACACCAAATTTCTATTCAAAGTCTTTCAACTGTAACAGCATACTGATTTGTTACAATGAACAAGTAATGCTATAATAGGGATAAGTATTTCTTGTCCACCATTTTAACAAAATGGCTTCCAGCCTCCTTCTCCAATTCATTCTCCTAGAAAATTTATGCTCTCTTTTACTTTGGTGAATAGTTTAGTTTACCTGTCCCTAAATTAAGTGTGTTTAAATATTTAGGAAGGTAGTACTTAGGACTGTACATTGATTTTTCAAAATATTTTACGTCTAATTCAAACCATTCTCAAATGACGAATGTTGGGTCCATTTTGATTTTATTTTATTTTAATATATACAAGACAGAAAATATGAAACTAATCATAAGTTTCTGAACCTCTACTGCCTCAAGAATGGAGAGGTGTTATTAGAGGAATAGATCTTCAGTTCCTTTTGGGAATTCTTTTTGTACCTGAAGACATTAGTAATCTACATTTAGTTTACTTTGGGATTAATCAACAGTTCTTTCACTATATACATACATATATATATATATATATATATTTATATATATATATATATATATATATATATATAATAAATGTCACCATGTCACACTTTTTCAACTTTACTTCTAAATGCTGTAGCTCAACATATATTACTATTTTGGAATCAGGCTGATTCCATGAGAAAATTAAAAACATTCTGGGCCAGGTTCAGACCTTCAATCATGAAATTTTTGATTCCCAAGTTTTCATTAATGCGATTGTTTTTAATGAATGCTTTTATGTGATTTTTTGTGACAAATTTTTTTGTATGATAACAATTATAATAACTTGGAAATAAATTTGGGAATAATTGAAATTAAATGCAAAATCCAGTGAAAGTCACCTATGAAATAAAAATAATTGTTTGCATAGAAAGTAAGGACCTATGTACATCAAATTGTCTTTAAGTAGAAGCAGATGAATTATCATTGAACTTTTAAAAAAATGATATATAAATTTTTATATATCAAGAACAAATTTAGAGAAATCTAACTTGTAATATTTCCACTTTGTCATAGATTCCCCTAATATATATATATATATATAGGGAAATGGTTATAGTTGTTCCAACGAGAGAAAATATATATTTTAAAAATGAGAGAAACTGCAAATGATTTTGATTATAATATGGATTTGCTTTAGTATGTATATCATATTTTAGTCTTCATATTTCTGCTACACGAGTTTCTGGTCTTATGACTTTCTTCAGTCAAATAAAAGGAATAAATTTTCCTTATGTTCTTTTGATATCCCATTGTTTTCTGTATTTGGTAGTGAGCCATGAACTCCATTCTGGACCGTCTTCATATCCCTGTGTACATTCAATTTTCCTGTTAGCCTGCATCACACACACACACAAGGATAGGAAGACATCTCTCATCAACACATCTATCATCACCACCTCTCATACCAAACCTAATGGTTTTATTAACACTTAGGCAAAAAATTACTTTTGCAGGTTCTCTCTTTTTTAATATATATATATATATATATATATAGATAGATAGATAGATAGATAGATAGATAGATAGATAAGCAAGTGTAAATGGATATAAATCCGACAGAATGAAGAAAAATTTTGAAAAAACAAACAAAAATCCTTAAATGTTGTTTAAAATGAATGAAATGTCGGTCTGACGTTTTCATAAACCTTCATAAACCTTTTTCAAGACAATATTCATTAAAAATACAATTCAGTTCAATATGACAAATACGATGGACATAAACAAAAGTCGGAAGGCAGATAACTTTTAAAAATTTTCAAATATCTGTTTTCCGTTAAGACTTGTTGTTTATGTTATCGTCTTTGTCAAATTGAACTGAATTGTATTTTAATGAATATTGTCTTGAAAAAGGTTTATTAAAACCATGAAACGTCAGACGTCATTTATATTTCATTCATTTTAAACAACATTTAAGGATTTTTGTTTGTTTTTTCAAAATTTTTCTTCATAGATAGATATGTTAGGAAACTTAATGACAAAGTGAAAACATTTCGTGTGAAACATTTCTTCCTTTAGGACTTCATCAGAATCAAGTGAGATTTATGCTGATCTAACAACACATGTGCACAAAGGAGACAGGGCACTAAAGTTTTGAACTTATAATTAATATATTAATTTAGTTTTTTTTTTTTTGTTTCTATCATTTTTGTTGTTAATTATTCCACATTGTGATAATAGAAAATCTGCCAAGAAAGGTGAAAGAACCTGAATTCAAATTTATTGCAGGTGATCTTGCAATTAAAGCACTTTCTATACACTTATTTCTTTGTAAATAACTTTAATTAAAGTAGCATTTCTAAGTCATTATTATTGTCAGTCTCATTATGGTGATCAACTAATGCATTTTGTGTATTGTTTTTGTTGTGATGAGATAACCCAACTTCCCCATTCACGATAATGGACGGTCTGGTGGCCGATAAAGTACGACCACAGTAAACAGTAACGAAAGGAAGGTCTTCGTTTACTAACACCATTGCGGTTAGCTTACTCCTGACTCTGTCTCTGTATTTTGACATACCTACATCCGATTATAAAATTATTATTGAAAACCACACTCAGGTTTACTTTGTTTATTATATCTTGCACGAGATATAACAGTTTTGTAAAAGATCCCTTTTGTTTTTCATAAAATCTTTTATTTAAATTCCTTGAGGTTTCTCCTATGTATTTCTTTGTGCAATTTTTATATGTGTTAGAGTAAATTCTCCCTTCAAGTTTTAGTTTATTATATTTTGTTTTATATTAAGCCTTTTATTGTTTTAGAAGTAGTTGTAACTAATTGTATATTAAGCTTAGATCAATTCCTTTCAATTGTAATTGTGATAGAGTTGGTAGATAGAATAATATATTTTTCATTGGATTTGTCAAAATAGTCCTCTCTTCTATTTTGAAATATTTTATGAGCCTTTTCTTTCATGTTGAATATGAAATAATTAAGGTATTGAAGGAACTTAAAAGTATTTTCAATGTATTTCTTCTTTCATATAAATAAAATATTTAATGTAAAAGGGTTGAAAATCAGGAAGAAAGGGATTTTCAGTGGTCAGGAATTAATCAAAACATTACTGAGAATAAAGCTATTACATATGTAATGTAAATGTATTGAAAATCAGGAAAGAAATTATCAGTGGTCAGGAATTAATACAAGTATTATTGATTAAATAATATCTGTAATGTAAAAGCACTGAAAATCAGAAAGAAACGGATTGTCATCAGTCAGGAATTAATTTTTTTTTTTTTTAAGCATTACGCCCCGAGCAAGTCATGAAGCCACTAGGATGCAGGGGGTTGCAGGAGATTAGGAGCAAGAGCAGATAGGAGTGATAAAAGAAAGGATGAGGAGAGGGATAGTGGATAGATCAAGGTAACTGGAGATGTCGATTGACATTACATTTGAATAGTTGGAGATTATAGCTCTCAGGGAAACAGTAATTAGGAAGGGTGTTCCACAGGCAGGAGGTGTGAGGTATGAAGCTATTGGAGTAGAAAAGACAGCTACATTTCCCCATCATTATTAAAAATACTGATAACCTGTTACTTACAGCTTATAAAATTTTACCAAATTACTAATGTTATTTAGCTTGTAATATTTAATCAAGCTCTGTGTAATTTTGTTTTATTTTTGTTTTAATATTCAACCTCAATTGAGATAATAAAAACCATAACACCATGCACCAGTTAATTGTGAATGTCATCATCTTTTCAATGGCAATATATTATGTACCTTGCCAGAGATACAAATTAATTCTGAATGCAAATTTGTCCTTCTTCCGGAATGCTAAGGCTAAAGATCCCAGTCTTCCCTGCTATTTAACACATAGCTTTTCATAAGGGTATTTGTATGAAAGTGAATGAAACAAACTCATCTGGAATTTGAACTCACTTCACTAATTTCTCTTTCTCAGCTGCTAACTACTACACTACTCACACATTTTTTATGAGCAAACATATGTATAATATTTTTAGAGAAACTCTGTTTGTAAGAGAATACATTGATTTCGATAACATATCCCTGTATATGTAGTAAACTTGTTAAATGTGACAAGAAATTTTCAGCACAGAACTGATGATAAAGTGTATATAAAATATCTATGATGTCAGAAAACTAATCTATCAATACAATTTTTTTCCACTTTGTCATTAATTTTCTGAACATTGTTCTGGTATATAAAAATCTATATATTGTTTTCTCTCATAACATATACCAATATAGGTACTAAACTTGTTGATTGTAACAACAAGAGATTTTCAGCACAGAACTGATGATAAAGTGTATATCAAATATCTATGATGTCAGAAAACTAATCTATCAATACAAAATTGGCCAAGCATCTCCTTCTCAAAGGTTTCCTCCATTTTTTTATATTGCTATTATGAAGAGTAAACAAATTCTAGATTGAATTTCAGTGTGGAATATACAAACACAAATATCTCCAGTGGACAATCTGAACTCTTTCTCACTGAACCTTACTCATCTTCTGCTTGCTGTAGTCATTATTTACATCTTAACATCTAGTTAGATAGATGGTTGACCAATTGGCTCAAATGACTAAAACACACACAGGCATATTATGTTCATCATTCCTTTAATATGGTATAGACTGACTTGAGCTGGTGAGAGGTTTTTCTTTAGGTGATTGATATCATTTTTTGTTAAGTTCTTTATGCTTTTTTGTTTTTGTATTGTTTTATTTTTTGGTGGACAACTAAAATTTCCCCAATTAGTTTTATGATTTTTTTCTTTATTAATGAAGAAAAGATTTAATCATTCACAGTGTTCTTTTTCTCACTTTAAAAATAAGAGAAAATGAAAACAATTATCAGCTTAATGATTTAACAATCTACAATATATATATATATATCATTTCTCTGTTTTAATTTTCAATCTCCCGTGGAAGCCTGACGAGCGGGAGCGAAACCGGTTGCTTCCCCCCCTTGTTGTTGAGTTTTTTTGTTTTTTTTTATTATTTAATATTGTTTTAATATGTCTTGTAATAT